ACAATGGTTTCCTTTGGCTTGGGACATATAATAATACAACCTGGCAGCATGCTTATGTTACTTTTTTCAGTTAGTTAAATTCTTATGGTAGCATGGTTCAACTGGTTCTACTGGTTAAATAGAACAGGAGTTCTCAGTAGATGATATGCTATTGGTTTATTTTTAATCAGACTGAAAGTGTTGGCACTCATGAGGCAGAAAATCACAGCAGTGGGCACACACTGGATATGTGTAAGCAATTAGGAAACTTGTAGGCTTTCTAATCATTCAGGAACTATTGTCTGTTTCTGCTGGAAAATGTATGCCATACAGAAAATCCTTTCCCATGTACTCCCTATACATGTCCAGAGGAGTATGGCAGTGCTGCAGAAAGAAGTTGAATATAACTTCTTAAGTGTTGTTTTTGAAATATTACTTAACTAGTTGAAGAAAAATTGCCAAAACAATAGCAGTTGAATATAGTAAGAACTGGATTATTTCTGGCTCAGCCCATGTAAGTGTGTTGAAAAGAGGTAATGACAGTTCTGTTCAGGTTCTTAGAAGCTCCACTGTCAAACAAGAGGCAAGACATATTACAAGCATTGTATAATCAGATCAAGTTCTTACTTGCTCCTTGTATCCTGTGGACATCTAATTATTATTAGCAGTTTACAGGAAAAAATATTAGGTAGAGATCAGAGTGCTTCCATCTTACAAAAGAAGGATCTAGCTCTGTTCTCTCAGTTTTGTCTGTGTCACGTAGCAGGGAGGTGTGGTAATGTAATCACCTGAATGATTCCAAACCAGTAACAAGAATTTCAGTTGGTTCTTTTAGGGTGACTCTTGATGACACTAAATTGAAAACAAAGGTGGTGCACTAAGGAAGAAAGAAAGGAAGAAATCTCATGGACTGAGAAGAGTAGAGGGAAAAAGAAAGTATTTAAACCACGAATGCCCATTTCTCCACTCTCAGCACCTTTTTAGTCTTCCAAAAGTCTGGTTATTTTATGGAATTTAGTATTAATTCATAACAATGCAATTCAAAATGGCAGCTAAATCTCAGCAAAGTTACTGTATCTGGTTCAGTCATTAACAATAGAGAATAGTTATAGTTACTGATCTGTCAAATCAGATTATTTTATATGATGTAAACTCTGATATAAACTTTCTTGGTTACACTTAGGATGGAAAACTGAAGTTCAAGATAAAATAAAACAGTGTGTGGAAAAATGAATGTGGTGTAAGAGTGGAGTTGCAAGAGTCATGGCTATCATCTCCCTCCTTTAGGGAGGGTGGTTAGAAATAAGTGTGCTTAGGTTATATTCCCTGTTTGGTTTGTACTGAAGCTTTTCTCCTTCTCTTGTTTGTTTCATGTACAGACTATACAACTATCTCATGTTCTTGTCTTCCAGAACCCAAAAGAAGTATTGCTGGCCCTTAAAAAAATATCCATTGCCAACAGATATTGCACAGCATTTTCTGAGATACCATATTCTTTGCCTGTATATAAAAGGGCAGTTGTAATTGTTAATTTGCCTGTTTTAAATAGCCAACAATTTCTCTTTGCATATGGCATGTATATAGTATAAATATGTGTGTTTATGGTAAAAACGGGAATTTTCGCATGTAAAACTTTCAGTAATTTAAACCCTGTGCTTGGTCTGTTTGTTTTCCCCTTAACTGATCCAGAGATCCTCTTTGGTCATAACCCACAGGGTTTGAGCAGCACTGCTTTAAAAGTTTTGTTCTGAACCTACAGTAGTTTGCCATATCTTGTCCACAGATTGATTGCAGTACATTTGATTGGGCAACCAGTACTTACCTGTAGGAGGAAAACTTGTCCATACAGTACTTTAGCTACAAGGATTATTTTCTATATATCTATTGCTAGTAATACCTCATCTTCAACAGGTCTCAGGTATTTCAAATTAATTTTTATAAATACAGAATTTTGCTTGGTCTTTAAAAGGTCAGTTCTAAAGGCAAAATATTGTTTACTCCAAATGGGAGGTGAATGCTACATTATATAGGATATTATACAAAGATTAATAGTACTTAAGAAAACTATATTTTTGCATAGATGAAAAAAAATCAGTACACAGTTGCAGTTGTATTATTTATGTGAAAAAATGTTATAAAAACATTAATCTGGAACCCTTCTGTCAGGTGGTGTCAGCAGCAAGAATTCAAATGTCTATAAGCTGTTTTTAAAATTAACAAATACACCTATTCAGAGCCCCACCCATAAACTTGGAAAAGCTAAGTACTTCTTCTTTTGAGTACCTCTCCTGAGCAAAGAGTATTTTCTCTTTCACGTGTACAGAATCTGTGTATAAATCAGCAACCTTGATTCTCGTGGAAATGAGCTCAGCATCAACTTGGTAACCCTCCCCAGCAACAAGTAATAGAAGTCATGTTCATACAAATAGCAAGTTAGACACCCATCACCACAGAATGAGTTCTTTGGGTTGTTGTTCTTCACTTCAGTTTCCCCACCCACTGACATGTAGCAAGCAGATTTCCCTTTCACATTTCATTCCCCCATTTTCTCTTCTGTGCACCCCACCTGAGGGCTGCTGTGTGTGGTTAGCAGAGACCCAGATTTGCATGTCCTGAAAGTACATCAAGGTCCTGAGGATCCTCCATTATCAGATGACTGTGACTGTTCTTTGTAGAGGATCAGAGATAGATCCATTTCTCATCTGAAGTGGGGTCAAGCAAGGATGCAACATCACCCCAGTTCTGTTCTCCACTTTTCTGACAGTCATCTTGGTTCCCATTAAGGACTGGCTTTCTTCTGGAACTGACACTAAGTACTGAACAGAGGGTACTTCAATAGTACTGAATAGAGGGCTCTGGGTCATTTTTGCTCAAAGACCAAAGTACTCAAAACAACCATCCTTGATCTTCAATGACGCAACGACTGCGCCATCCTTGTGCACAGTGAGGAAAACCTCTGGACTATGTTGGACTATATTGGATCTTTTTGGAGAAGCCTACTGAACTTTGGCATTCTCTCTAAAAATTGAGAAAACTAGAGTGCTCTATCAGTTTGCCCCAGCCATGAATATGATCCCCCTCCCCAAGTTACCATCAAGGGAAAGACCCTGGAGGTAGCCAACCATTTCCCCTACCTCAGTAGCTATTTCTCTGAGAGAGAGAACACTGATGAGTGTTGCCAGTGCAATTCTTTACCAAGGCATCTCGGGATTGCCATGGCCACTCTTCTGATTTGGTATCAAGCAATCTTTATTCATAATCCCCAGACAGACATACAGATTTCCTCTCCATAATACAACCTGGCAGGCAAAATGAAAGCTTCTCAGCAGTAGTCTTTGGGGGCACAGATCCTTTGTTGGATGCATAATGTTCCTAGGTGTCTTCTGACCCAATTTCCAGAAGCAGGAAACAGTAGCCACGTCTGTCTCTCCAGGATACCCATGTGCACCTGCTTCCTCTTTTTATACTTTTGCTTTTGCAGTGATAACTTTCTCTGTCACTAGCACCAATTATCTATCAAGCTTACAGTTTTTACCATATATAAAATTTAAAACAGAAGATACATGGAAATTACTGCAATTGCCAACTTAGCATTTAATTTATAGCATCCTGTTTCTATCTTAGGTTTAGTCTTGCTCAAAATCTTAGTATGACTCAAAATCTCACGCTACAACAAGAAGAGCCAGCACATGATCCAATGTACAAGTGCCTCCTTTGGAAAACTGTTTTGGCATGTCTTTATGAATCACAGTCTCTGGAAAGCCACCAAGATCCAGGTCTATAAAACAGTCATCATCCCCATGGTGGGCACTTCCGGTTTCACTTTTACCTTACAAGCTGGCATGCTGGTTAATAGAGCATGCCAGCTTGTAAGGTGCCGATTAAGGAAGCTTTTAGTGTGTGTGTGTGTGTGTGTGTGTGTGTGTGTGTGTGTGTGTGTGTGTG